AGACAGATGAACTAGATGGGTAGATGTATGGATAGATGAATGGAGGCATGGAGGGATGGATGGATGGATAGATGGATGGATGAACAGATGGGTGAATGAGTAGATGAATAAAAGTGCCTGCTGCCACCAAACTCCTGACTTCTATGTCATATATTTGTCATTTTTCCTCACCTCAGCATTGATTCCATCTGGTAATAGCACCTTACTTTGGCTTTGGAAAATCGCCCTTCTCTCATCTTCTATCCACGTGGTTCAGGTGAGGTTAACATGAGTGTCCGACAATAGGGGTGGCCCAGGGCCTGGGCTGTTGAATAGAACACGCCTTCTTCTGGTCCGTGATGGGCCAGCACTGAACACATGGCCACACAGGGGTTTCTGCTGCAAAGTTTGGAAAACAAAGCTCTTTCCTCCAGGAGAAGGGGTGCCAAGCTCATAGGGTCTGCATTTGGAGCTCTTGGTGGCTATTTCTGTCAGCCTGTGGGAAGGGTCAGCCTGAGAATGAAGATGCCATGGAGGAAAACATGGCGGAAAAGTGGTGACAGACTTAACTATGTCGTTCAAAAGCCTGAATCCAGCCGTGCCAGTTATGTAGGCTGGTTCATTCTCCCCAGAGCTTTAGCAAGTGAGTTAGGCCTCCTTCCTCGAAGTAAAAAGGAAATACAGTCTCCCACTTCTAGGTTCTTTGTTCAAGCCACTCCCTCAACCTAGGACATATGTGCTAATCCTGGAGAGCTCAGCTGAACCCCCAGTGCCCATGGAAAGCATCTCTGACCCCCAGATGGTGCCCATCTCTCCTGACATCCCCAGAGTACGATGTCCATTCATGCTGAGAACCTGTGTCTACAGTCCTTGGGCTGTGGTCATGGCCAACGTATTCATCATCCTCTTAGCATGGAAGCACTCTGCCCTTGGTCTGTGCCTTGCTCACCTGCACACCCCCTCCCACCACCAGCCTGTGGTCAATAAATAATTTTATGTAGAGATGCCCCACAGCTCTGAGACAATTATGATGTTAATTATTTGACAATATCCCCCATTTATCCTTTAGTGCCTTTAGGATCTATAATGACTCCCTCTCTCCATCCTGATGTTGATAAATTGTGTCCTCTCTGTCTTTATCTTGACAAGTCTGACTAAAGGTTCATCAAATGTATTGATCTTTTCCAAGAGCCAGCTTTTGGTTTTATCCATTCTCTCTACTTTTCTGTTTTCAATCTCATTGGTTTCTGCTCTTATCTTTGGTATTTCCTTTCTTCTGTTTGCTTTGTAGTTGATTAGCTCTTTTTCCAGTTGGAAAAGAAAAAAACTGGAAAAAGAAACAGATTCTTGATCTTAAACTGTTCTTATTTTAAATACAAGTATTTATTTTATTTTTTTTCCATTTATTTTTATTAGTTGGAGGCTAATTACTTTATATCATTGCAGTGGTTTTTGTCATACATTGAAATGAATTAGCCATGGATTTACATGTAAATACAAGTATTTAAAGCCGTGCTTTCCTCATAGCTCAATTGGTAAAGAATCTGTCTGCAATGCAGGAGACCCTGGTTCGATTCCTGGGTGGGGAAGATCCACTGGTGATGGGATAAGCTACCCCCTCCAATACTCTTGGGCTTCCCTTGTGGCCCAGCTGGTAAATTATCGGCCCTCAATACAGGAGACCCATAAGTGTCTCTCAAAACACTGCTTCAGTTGTGTCCCACACATTTTCATATCTTGAATATACCTTACATAATGTAATCATTTTAAGTATGTTGAGGTATTGAAGCTCATTATGTGGCCCAGCGCATGGTCTATCCTGGTGATGTTTCACATGCACGTGGAAAGAACGAATAGTCTGCTGTTTGGGGGAGAATCATTCTGAGTCACTAGGATCAAGCTGAAAGAGAATGCTGTCCTGGTCTCCCAAATCCTCACTGATTTTTCTGTTTCCTTGCTCCTTTGGTTACACAGAGAGAATTACAGCTTCCAACTTTAATTATGGATCTGTCTGTCTCCCTTGTCAATCCAATCAGTTTTTGCCTCACAAATTTTAAAGTTCTTTTATTAGTTTCTCACACATTCAGGATTATGTCTTTTGATTCACTGACCTCTTATCTGAATGTAATGTCCCTCTTCGTCCCTGATAACAGTCCCGTTCTGAGGTCTACTTTGGTAGATACTAGTTCAATTAATCTTTGCACGATACAACTTCTCTCATTTTTATATTTTTATGCCAACTATGTCTTCGTATGTAAAGTGGGTCTCTTATAACTTATCATGCATATTGATGGGCCTGTGTCTTTATCTGATCTGATATTCTTGACTTTAAAATTGCTTTAAAATATTTACGATGTTTAGGAAAAAAATATTTACGATGTTTAGGACATTTGCATTTAATACAATTATTCATTCCCTTGGATTAAACCTATCATTTTGCTAGTGATTTTCTTTTTGTTCCAATGATCCTTCATTCCCTTTTGCCTCTTTTTTTTTTTTACTATTTCTGGGTTATTTGAGTGTTCTTTATGATTTCATTTTGTCTCCACTGCTGGCTTATTAGTTATACCTATTTTTAAATTGCTTTGAGGATGGCTCAGCTTTAAAAAGATTCAGTGAAGAGGAATCTAGATTGCTGCATGAGGATGTGGAAGGTACCTGCTTACTTATGGAAAAAACCCTCTGTTTCAGGGAACAGATCACTGGGGAGTCCAAGCTCTAATCATCTCCACCAACGCGCTTGGCAGGGTTCAATTTGCACATAAAACTGACAACAGCTTTCCAGCGTGATGCCTGCATGTCCACGCCAACCAAGGGGCGGTCAGAGTGGGGCTTCCAGGAGCGGCCTCAGCCCGGGTCTCCGGGGGAGGCTCCCGGCCCTTCTCAGCAGCCCCTCCGCAGGGCAGCCCCCAGTGGCAGGACAGGCCAGCCCAGGAGGAGCCTGGACGTGGCAGGTCTCCTGTCTGTCCCTCTCCTATCTCTCCCTGAGCATCCAACTGTGACCACAAGGGGAGGCACCCCAGCGACTCCATCTCTGCCCAAAGGCAGCAGGGTCCCCAGCAAGGGACGTGGGGCTGCTTCATCGTACATGAATCTCCAAGGATGAGTCAGGATAGCTCGAGCCACTCCCGGATGTCAGTGAGCAGAGCTTGGACTCACATAATGCTCACCTGACCTGAGAAGCTGAGCATTCAAAAAGCAGATAAATACTACCCAAAGCAATCTATAGATTCAATGCAATCCCTATCAAACTACCAACGGTATTTTTCACAGAACTAGAACAAATTATTTCACAATTTGTATGGAAATACAAAAAACCTCGAATAGCCAAAGTAATCTTGAAAAAGAAGAATGGAACTGGAGGAATCAACCTGCCTGACTTCAGACTATACTACAAAGCCACAGTCATCAAGACAGTATGGTACTGGCACAAAGACAGAAATATAGATCAATGGAACAGAATAGAAAGCCCAGAGATAAATCCACGAACCTATGGTCACCTTATCTTCGACAAAGGAGGCAAGGATATACAATGGAAAAAAGACAACCTCTTTAACAAGTGGTGCTGGGAAAACTGGTCAACCACCTGTAAAAGAATGAAACTAGAACACTTTCTAACACCATACACAAAAATAAACTCAAAATGGATTAAAGATCTAAATGTAAGACCAGAAACTATAAAACTCCTAGAGGAGAACATAGGCAAAACACTCTCTGACATAAATCACGGCAGGATCCTCTATGACCCACCTCCCAGAATTTTAGAAACAAAAGCAAAAATAAACAAATGGGACCTAATGAAACTTAAAAGCTTTTGCACAACAAAGGAAACTATAAGCAAAGTGAAAAGACAGCCCTCAGATTGGGAGAAAATAATAGCAAACAAAGCAACAGACAAAGGATTAATCTCAAAAATATACAAGCAACTCCTCCAGCTCAACTCCAGAAAAATAAATGACCCAATCAAAAAATGGGCCAAAGAACTAAACAGACATTTCTCCAAGGAAGACATACAGATGGCAAAAAAACACATGAAAAGATGCTCAACATCACTCATTATCAGAGAAATGCAAATCAAAACCACAATGAGGTACCATTACACACCAGTCAGGATGGCTGCTATCCAAAAGTCTACAAGCAATAAATGCTGGAGAGGGTGTGGAGAAAAGGGAACCCTCTTACACTGTTGGTGGGAATGCAAATTAGTACAGCCGCTATGGAAAACAGTGTAGAGATTTCTTAAAAAGCTGGAAATAGAACTGCCATATGACCCAGCAATCCCACTTCTGGGCATACACACCGAGGAAACCAGATCTGAAAGAGACACGTGCACCCCAATGTTCATCGCAGCACTGTTTATAATAGCCAGGACATGGAAGCAACCTAGATGCCCATCAGCAGACGAATGGATGAGGAAGCTGTGGTACATATACACCATGGAATATTACTCAGCCATTAAAAAGAATTCATTTGAATCAGTTCTAATGAGATGGATGAAACTGGAGCCCATTATACAGAGCGAAGTAAGCCAGAAAGATAAAGACCATTACAGTATACTAACACATATATATGGAATTTAGAAAGATGGTAACGATAACCCTATATGCAAAACAGAAAAAGAGACATAGATGTATAGAACAGACTTGTGGACTCTGTGGGAGAAGGCGAGGGTGGGATGTTTCAAAAGAACAGCATCGAAACATGTATATTATCTAGGGTGAAACAGATCACCAGCCCAGGTTGGATGCATGAGACAAGTGCTCAGGCCTGGTGCACTGGGAAGACCCAGAGGGATCGGGTGGAGAGGGAGGTGGGAGGGGGGATCGGGATGGGGAATACATGTAAATCCATGGCTAATTCATTTCAATGTATGACAAAAACCACTGCAATGCTGTAAAGTAATTAGCCTCCAACTAATAAAAATAAATGGAAAAAAAAATAAACATTATCAGAGGGAAAAAAAAAAAGGAGATAAAATTCTCAAAGATAAGGGAAAAGATAATTACCCAGCTTCCAATTAATCAGCCAAGGCAGGCTCTTTCTACTTTGCTGCCAGACCACTGAGCCATCAGGAGGCTGCACAGAAGCATCTGAAAACGGATATCCTTTCCGTAACGACAGAGAGAAAGGGGCCTCAATCATCCACCGGATCAAATCCCATTAAGAACATGATCCGCCACCCGAAACTCTGAAACCAGACTCCTCAGACGCTCACCCTTCAGCAACACATTCTCCCACTGCTAATGTTCTGATGCCACTCAGAGGCCACGAGGTCCCAAGGATGACGCCATCAGCGCATCCCTGAAGGCAGCCCTCTAGGGCCTGGCCAGGCCTTCTTCCAGCTGCTGGGACCAAGCCCCCACCCACCCCCCAGGGCTCCTTCAGGAAACAACCGAGGCTCCTGCGCACCCAGATGGAAGCGAGCGCCCACCTTCACAGCAGTTGAAGGGGTCGCCCGTGCGGCCAGGCGCTGGCCACCGAGGGGCGCCAGGCCGGTCAGCGGCTCCCCAAATGTAACTTCAGGATCAACTGACCAAGAACTGGTCCCACCCCACTGAGAGCCTGAGATGCCCCCGCCCCCCGATTCTCAGACCTGCCCAGACAGCCATCCTCCCAAGGCTGTTGTGTTCATGAAATAGCAGCTAGATCAGACAACAGGTAGCAGGTAACAGACTTTCTGGGAAAGGAGGAACAGTTTTCCTGGTCATCAAGCTGAGCTGGAGGAGAGAGGGGACCTCATTCCTAGCTTGGGACGGGAACGGCGTGCCCACAGGCCCAACACCAGAACCGCTCATGGGGCTGTCTGCTGGACCCCCTGGCCTGGTGCCCAGCTCTGGGGACAGAGATACCTGCTACAAAGGAACATGATGGCTGGGAGGGAGCTGGCTGCTCCTGCTACACTGGCCACCTTGAGGCAAGGCCCCCTCAAATCCCTCCGTTCTCACCCCACGCGAGGACCGGGCCCCAGGAACGCCCCCTGGCCATGCTCAGAGAATCTCGTCTCCACCGTGGGCAGAGCTGAGGCCAGCGGAAAACCAGATGCAGTTTGTTTGGGTGACTAGATTCCAGCAGCTTTCAAATTCACATCCTCACCATGGCCCTCCTGAAAGGGGGACCAGGCTCTAAAGAGCAGGACACCAGTCACTGCAATGGTGAGATTCCGGGGTCTTCAGAGACCCCAACCCACCCTGACACGCTCTAAATCCAGGGACTGATTTCTGCAGACGTGAGGTTTTTCAAGTTGTTGTTGTTTAAGTCGCTGAGTCGTGTCTGACTCTGAGATCTCACAGACTGTAGCCCACCAGGCTCCTCTGTCCATGGGATTCTCCAGGCAGGACTCCTGGACTGGGTAGCCGCTTCCTCCTCCAGGGGGCCTTCTCGACCCCGGGATCGAACCCGCGTCTCCTAGATTGGCAGGCGGGTTCTTCATCACTGAGCAACCCTTTCTCGGATTATTAGAACCTAAGCCAATCTGGAAAACTCAAGTCCTTAGGGAGTTCATCAGAAGCCTATGAAGGAAGTTCACAGACCCAACGGAGCAGCCAGGGAACTGGGCACAGAAAGGCGGGAACGAGGCAGCTCCAGAGAGACTCGGGTCACAAAGCTGACAGGCCCAGTGCCTCCTCGGGGGAAGCACCTCCAGCCCCTTAACCCTCCTGTCCCTTCTCTCGGGACTCGGAGTCTTCGGAGGAACCTGCTGATGGCCCTGCTGGGGTGGGGCCCCCTCCTCCTGAGGAATGCAAGGGCCCCTTAATCTAGGTCCCACGAGACTCTGTCCAGTGGGGTGGGTGGGTCCCCAAAAGGGAAGTATCAGGTGACACCCCCAAAGGGAAGCAGAGGGGACATCAGGCAGAGGGTAAGCTTGCAGGGCTCTCACCCAACTGGGAATCCCGGCTGGCGTCCGGGGCTCTTGGCAGGAAACGGCCAGCGCGTCGGTCAGCTGAAGCCCACGCCTGCCATCTGTGGTCTGGAGTTCAGCTCACCCTGGAGTGCCGTCCAAGGCCCGAAGCCACGTTCAGACCAAATAATCTGAACGGCCGCACGTGCTCAGAACAGAAGCGTCATAGAAGGCATTGATTTAACTTCCGGCTGTCCTCACTCTTGTGACAAAGCCACCCTGTGTCCCGCTGCCCATCAAGCGGCCCTCACTTGAGCGTCAGTCCCACAGGTCACGGCAGGGTCTCACTGGAGACCCAGGGGTTGCAGGCTGCCCTATCGTTCTGCCCGAGACTGAGGGGCCTGCAGTCTTAAAACCAGAAGAGTCCCAAGAAAACCATCTCCATTTTCCCGGGACTGAAAGTGTTCCTGGTGCACAGGACCTTCGGTTTTAAGCTGAGGGATGTTCTGGGCCACCTGGGGCATTCCACCTGCTCACCCAAACCTGGGCAACGTCAGCCCCCAGCCCGTCCTCCGAGGACCTCGGGTCCCTGAGGACCCTGCTGGCCCCGTGCACGGCACACGTTCCAAGGTCGTCGAGGTTTGGACCTGACGCTTGAGGTGTTGCAAGCCGTGTGAGTGCAGCAAGCTCCCCAAACCCCAAAGTGCACAGCCAGCCTCTCTGTAACTCCAGCCCCTCACAGGCGGCACCTGCTCGGATGTGACCGCGGCTGCTGCCGTGTCCCCCGGGTTCCAACTGACAATGTCCGTCTGCACAGACACGGTCTGGATGGCACGGGCCCTGGCAGGAGGGTGGTGGGCAGTGGGACGCCTGGACCCCTGAGGGCCAGCCCAGTGTCTGTTCTTTGCTATGGAGCAGGAGAGCAGGGGTTCATTTTTGCACTCCAAAAAATATATAATAATTACAGCGTCATCAACATTAGCATTTAGGTATGAAATATTATGGCACCGAAGCCTAATTAACATAGTAATTAGACAGATTAATATATTTCCTTCTTCATTTCAAATCCATAATCTACACTAATTGCTTGTAATGCACTCATTTTGGATGGATGCTGATATTTCCGAGTGTGAAATTATAACTTATCCCATTAACCAAACACCAGCGGCAGTGAAGCTGTCCCCAGTGCCTTCACACTCCTTGTCTGTGTTGTCACCAGCCGCCGGCCCGGAGAGACAGGGAGATGTTCATTTGCAAACTACCGGAGCAGGACAGGGCAATTTGGACACAGGATTAGCACTTCTCTCCCACACTCCAGAACCGCAGAGACGGATCCCAGAGAAAGCCGTGGGCGACGTTCTGTCATGTCAGCGCTGACAGAAGCGACTCCCACACCAAGTGTGGGTGTTGTCAACTGGAAAACAGTGCACAACCTACAATTTGAGAGTCACGTCTCACTCAGCAGACGTGCTGAGGATGCAAGCCTGGAGGCAGCCTCTCAGCGCCCTTGGAGGGACCACTCGGTAGAGGCGGGGGGTGGGGAGCCGGGAGAGACGGGGGTTTGCAGCACAGCCCAGGTAGTCAGAACATCAAAAGATTCCTGTTAATTAAAGAAAACCCAGACATCTCAAGGCAATGAACTTAGAGCTTTCCTGTGTGTGGGAAGGTGCAAGAGTCTGGGCTCACTGAAGTTGCTCCTTTTGATGTGCCCCTCAGCTACCTGGGGCCAGGGTCCCGCTCTTCTCCATCCCGACTCCTCTCCGGGGGCACACTCGGGGCGGCCGCAGGGGCCGAGGGTTGATGGCTGCAGCATCCTTTGTTTACTCACAGAGCTCGTGTGCTCAGCCATGTCTGACTCTTTGCAACCCCATGGACGGTAGCCTGCGAGGCTCCTCTGTCTGGAACTTCCCAGGCAAGAACACTGGAGTGGGATGCCATGCCCCCCTTCAGGGGCTCTTCCGACCCAGGGATCCAACCCAGGTCTCTTGTGTCTCCTCCATTGGCAGGTGGGTTCTTTACCACTAGGCCACCTGGGAAGCCCTTCTGATCTGGCAGCGACATTCTTTGTCCACAGATTTGTTTGGATGCAGCTGTTTTCTGCTCCGTATCCACAGCAAACAAGCTGGCGGAGCCCAGGATCCGCCCGACTCATTTCAGGAAAGGTCCCCGCAGGCCTTAGAAGAAGGTGGTGCTCTTGAGCAGACTGTAACCTGGGATGTCCAGATGGTGACTGGTTGGCTGAGCAAGCCCACTTTGTTTAGGGGCCTCCATAACCCTCCTCATCATTGCAAATACTCAAGCAGCCCTGGCACCCAGCCATGCACTCCCCACATCCATTCCCCTGCCCCCCATCCCTCTGCACCCCTGCAGAGGCCAGTCTTGGGGCTCCAGGGTCCCTTCGCCTGCTCTGGACATGTGCTGAGCCATCCTAGGGGATGGCGAGGCCACCTTGGTGGACAGAGAGTCCAGCAGACAGGCACTCTGGACGCTGCACTTATTGGGGACAGCGTGGCCCGAGGCTATCTCACCCCTGGCCAGCCACACCTGTCTCTCCTTCCTCCTCAACAACCTTGGAAAAACACACTTGGAGAGAAGTTGCCATCCCACACCTTGGCAGGTGGGCCTCGTGACTTCAGAGCCCAGAGTCATTTGTGGACAATGCAGACCTGGCCCCCCGCCCCCCAGGATGCTGATCTTGCAGGGAAAGCAGAGAGCAGAAGGGGACAGCAGTGCGCAGGCCCACCCTGGCCTCCACTCCTGACCACCAACCAGGACCCTCACATCACTTTCCTCTGATGCTCAGTCTGCTCATCTGAAGAGGAGCGGTGGACCTCGATCCTGTGACTCCCACCCCAAATGGAACACGGGTTCAAAGGCCAACCAAACTGTGCCTTCTTCCCTGACAGCCCAGAGAACCCACACAGGGAAGGCACCCAGCCCCTCTGTCGGCTTGGAGCAGCTGCCTAAGGCAGGTGTGTTAGGGAACTATCGGGGAAAGCACCCCCCTTGGCCAGGCCCGCATGCCCGATCTGTCTCGCAGCCTGAGGTCCTGATGAGGACCACCACGCTGCCTCGGAAAACTAACAGGAGGGGCCAAGAGAGAGGCAGCTTCCCTGATGGCTCAGTGGGAAAAACGTCCCGCCTGCCAATGCAGGAGGCACAGGAGACGTGGGTTAGATCCCTGGGTTGGGGAAACCCCGTGGGGTAGGAAATAGCAGCCCACGCAGTATTCTGGCCTGGAAAATTCCACAGACAGAAGAGCCTGGCGGGCTACAGTCCTTGCAGTCACAAGAGCCAGGCACGACTGAGCACATACAAGAGACGGAGGATACACCAGCCTGTGGTTTGTCCTGACAACCCCCTGGAGTCCTTCACACTGGAATCCCTCTTGGCTGAGAGACGTGCATGAGAAGTGGAATATTTCCTGCTGTATCCATAAACAAAGGATGTCACAGTCATTAGCAACCACAGCCACTGCCAGCAGTGAGCCAGCGAGCCCCGCGGAAACTCGGGAAGGAAAGAACGCCTGCAGTCTGGGAGCCTTCAGACCGCAGCCACTCCCCGTGGTAAGCCCTGCAGAACTGAGGATGTGAAAACACAGGAGACTGGCCCTGGACAACTGAGATGTATATGAAAGGAATGAGGTCAGGGAGCCCAGACTCTTGCATCTGCCCATTCATAGAAAAGTGCTACGTTCCTTAAATCGGGATATCTGGTTTTAATTAGCAGTAATCGTTTGATGTTCAGACACCTGCCCTTTGCCACAGAATTTCTATAGAAGCTGGCTCCTCTCCTCGCCTCCTCAGAGCAGTCCTCCCAGGGCTCCTTGAGGTGCTATCTCCCCAGCTTGAAGTCCTAAAAATTTCTGCCAAATAAAACAACCCTCAATGTTTAGCCTGTGACTTTTTTTTTTAGTCAACACACCTGCCACCAGGAAGGACCCTGAATCAAACCAAATATGGGCCACGCAAGATGACTGGCCAGAAACAACCTGGAAACTAACTCATCACCGTAAGACCCAAGACTGCAAGCCTCATGGCAGAGCAGTCCTCCCAGCTCCCTTGCCCTCCTGCGGCTCTCTGCCCCGGTGCCCCTTCCCATAGTCTCTTGCTTTGCCAGCTGTGTCTCATGGGACAATTCATTTCCGAGTGTTAGAGAAGAGCCCACTCTCTGGCCCTAGAAGGGGCCTTCCTTCTTGGAACAGTTGTACCCTAAGTTCCCCCCAGGGGAAGGGGGTTCCCTGCATTCCTCCAGAGCAGAGAGCAGCTTCACGGGTGTGGGAGGGCGGAAATATTCTTCCACCCACCCCCACTTCACTGGCTGGGGCCCTGCAAATTTCATGGACCAAAGATTAATAAGAGACAAACGGAAGTTCACTGCTCATGAATCTCTCAAACACGGGGCATCAGTGCCGGGTGACTCAGAGGGGTGCTCGGAACGCTCAACAAAAGAACAACAAACGCGCAGAGAAGTGACAGGACAAAGGAGAAGGACTTTGAGTTTTAAGGGGGAAGCTGTGGGAAGGTAAATATAACCCAGGGAAACTGATGGGAGACAAGCCCGGTGAGCAAGGCTTGTTAGTGTCAGCAACAGATTGGCACTCGCCATCTACCTCCATAAGGGTTAAATCAGGTGCTGCTGCAGCTGCTGACCTTCAACACCCCTGAAAGGAGCTGTGGGTGGAAAGCAAAAATGAGGTCCTCTAGCAGGACAGACCTCCAGATAGTTAGATATTCTCAGGAGTTTATGTAGGAGCCCAATTCTTGGAGTTCCTCACATCTAGAAAAGCACTAAAATCCTTCATGGTGACGATTGTTTCTTGTGACTAGCAGAAACTTTCTAAAAATAAATGTGCTTGATTGCATGAATTCCCCCATCATCATAATCACATATATACTGTCCTTCCCTCCTACCTCTTTGGAGCAGCAGCCTCTTAGAACTCTCTGAAGAGCTGTCTCCTGGGCTGCTGTCCTCATTTTCCCCCCAATAAACCTTGACCCTCAACTCTCAAGTAGTACATTTTTAAAAGTCAACCTTATGTAGATTTCTCTGGGCTGATAAGGATCTAGTTTTCTCCAGTCATTAGCTTTGGTCCTCCATGGAGAGAGAAAGGGGACACTTTTACAAATTGACGTCCTATTTTTAGGCAAATCAGTTCAGTTCAGTTCAGTCACTCAGTCATGTCCAGTTCTTTGCAACTCCATGGAGTGCAGCACGCCAGGCTTCCCTGTCCAACACCAATTCTTGGAGCTTGCTTAAACTCATGTCCATTGAGTCAGTGGGGCCATCCAATCATCTCATCCTCTGTCGTCCCCTTTTCCTCCTGCCTTTAATCTTTCCCAGCATCAGGGTCTTTTCCAATGAGTCAGCTCTTGGAATCAGGCGGCCAAAGTATTGGAGCTTCAGCTTCAACATCAGTCCTTCCAGTGAAAATTCAGGGCTCATTTCCTTTAGGACTGGCTGGTTGGATCTCCTTGCAATCCAAGGGACTCTCAAGAGTCTTCTCCAACACAACAGTTCAAAAGCATCAATTCTTCAGCACTCAACTTTCTTTATAGTCTGACTCTCACATCCTTACATGACTACTGGAAAGACCATAGCTTTGACTAGACGGGCCTTTGTTAGCAAAGTAATATCTCTGCTTTTTAATATGCTGTCTAGATTGATCATAGCTTTTCTTCCAAGGAGCAAGCATCTTTTAATTTCATGGCTGCAGTCACCATCTGCAGTGATTTGGGAGTCCAAAAAAAATAAAGTCTCTCACTGTTTCCACTGTTTCCCCATCTATTTGCCATGAAGTGATGGGACCAGATGCCATGATCTTAGTTTTCTGAATGTTGAGTTTTAAGCCAACTTTTTCGCTCTCGTCTTTCACTTTCATCAAGAGGCTCTTTAGTTCTTTGCTTTCTGCCATAGGGTGGTATCATCTGTGTATCCGAGCTTACTGATATTTCTCCCGGCAATCTTGATTCCAACTTGTACTACATCCAGCCTGGCGTTTCTCATGATGTACTCTGCATAGAAGTTAAATAAGCAGGGTGACAATATACAGCCTTGACGTACTCCTTTCCTGATTTTGAACCAGTCTGTTGTTCCATGTCCAGTTCTAACTGTTGCTTCTTGACCTGCATACAGATTTCTCGGGAGGTAGGTCAGGTGATCTGGTATTCCCATCTCTTTCAGAATTTTCCACAGTTTATTGTGATCCACACAGTCAAAGGCTTTGGCACAGTCAATAAAGGAGAAGTGGATGTTTTTCTGGAACTATTTAGGCAAATAACGGAGCACAGCATCTGCTTCTCGACTGCCTTCAGCTCAAAATAATCTTGATGCCAAAGTGGCCTGTTTGGGGGGTGGCGTGTTCTGCGAACTTCAGCCCCCCACATGGAGCCCAGCTACAGGGGCTGCTCAGCGTCTAGGGAGGAGGGTGCTCTTCTCTCTGCAACCCCCTCCCCGCCCCCCACCCCCACTGTTCAGGGCTGCCACATGCTCTGCGGGCTAGCTGACGTCTTCAGCGCCACATGCTATGTCAGTGAAAGATCAGCATTCCACATCTAACCTCTGATGCTGGGATGACGCATTTCATTTTTCAATTAAGGGCTGATTTTCCGTGTTCAGCCCTGATCCGCATCACCATTACCTCTTTAATTAATTTAGCATCTCTCAAGCAGCAGTTGCTAAATTGCCCGAGCAGAGATGGGAAAACAAAACCCAAGCAGCTCCCAAGCCCAAGGTGAGCAGGCCTCGGGAGCGCTGGCTGGCTGGCTATTTGAATAAGAAAGCGTCACTCTGGCAACACTTAGCTTAAAAGGCAATTGGTCCGGAAGGGAGACAAAGCCGTTTAGAAGGCCAGCGGCAGCCCCAGGCCGGTCTGGGGAAGACGCCAGAACCCTGCCTTGCACTTAACAGGCCTCCTTAATTAGTTCCTGGGGGAATCCGGCCTCTGCTGTTTGCATTTCAGGGAAGTTCCTAAGACTTTCTTATTTGCTTTCATAAGGGTTTTGTTTTGCTTTTGTTTTCATTCTTTTTTGTTCTTGAAGCCGCAAGGTTCAAGGCCCACGTCAAAGGGAGGCAGTTCCAGCAGGCATCTGGGTCGGCTCCCTCTCTGCCCTGGAACAGGAGTCCCAGGATGACTGCAAAGCAAAGAGCCTCCGATTAGAGGGGCCCGGTCACAGCTCCCCACCTACCCACCCCACCCCACCCCACCCCACCCCACCAATGTAAGCCAGCTTTTAGCAGCTCTGCATTCATTTAAGAAAACAACAGCCTGTCCTAACAAGGCCTTCAAGTCACTGCTTTTGAAGACCCTGGCGCCCCACCAGCAATATCACTCAGTGAAGACTCCACTGGGGCATCAGACTGACTCCCCGAAACGCGTCCACCGCCGGGTCAGTGGCTGTGATGCAGCGTCTTGAATGTAGAAGTCAGACTGCTGGTCACGGAGGCCTCGACTGACCTAGAGCAAGATTTGTACAAGGACTGGAGGGTTCTGGCATGGAGGCATTTACCCCACCAACCTCAGCAGGGGCCAGAGTGGCACCCACCACCCCCAGGTGGCGCAGACCCACGCACCTCTCTGGGAAAGCCTGGGGGAGCAGGGTGAGGCAGGAGATGACGGCACTCAGGCTGAGTGGCTGGGTCTGTCCCCTGTGGGCAGCTACCCCAAGACCCAAGACAGCAGGAGCAGAGAGGAGCTGAATCTGCCCAGATACGAGATAGAGAGACCACATGTTCCTCAGTCTCGAGAGCAAGGAGACCATCCCCACTACACATGCGCAGAAACACTCCTTGGAGTCACAAAGCGAGGGGGATCCAGACCCACAGCAGGTGAGGTCAGCCCACACACAGGCCTCTGCAGTGGAACCCGTCCCGGCTAAGAGATGCGCATGCACGCGGGAGGACCCTGAGACACCCCAAATGCCGACTCAGAGCCAGGCAAAGTGAGGCGACCGGCCAGGGGACGCCCGGAAGAAATGCCCCGGGAACGTGACTCAGACAACCACGAGGCTGAGTCTCTGAGCGCCCCATGCCTGCCTCTGCACTTCACTTGTTCACTACTCTCTGTTTCCTTGTGGAGATCCATTTCTACAAAGCCGGCGGGTCAGCGCCTTGTCACGGGCGGTCTGGAGGAGGCTGGGACTCAGCGCTCTCACTGCCGCAGCCTGGCTTCCCTCTCCCGTCGGGGAACGGAGGTCCTGCTTCAGGCCACTGCAGGCCGAGGCCACTGGAGACCACACGCCCCGCCAGGTCCCCTGGATGGAATGCAGCTTCTCCCCATGGGATGGGAGATCCTGGGGTCCTCAGAGATGTGAACTCCTCCGGATGACGGCACACCCAGCGTTGGCGTGTGTGCCTCCACGGGGTGGAGGAGAGCAGACCCATCACCCTCCAGCTCAGCTGGCCTGGTGGTTCTCCTCCAGCTGAGCGTTGGAATCCCCTGGTGGTGCTCCTGGCTAGCGTTGGAATCGGTTTAGACTCCCGATTCAGGGTGCCATCTCCGGAGTTCTGACTAATTGACTGGGTCCAGGGTGGGCCCAGGCATGGGATGCTGCAGAAGCTCTGTGGGTGATCCCAGCACACAGCCCCTGATGGCCGAGAAAGCCTCACCAGGTCAAGGCTGACCACCTCCCCTCACCCAGGCAGGTGAGGTCTCTATGCACCACAGCAGCCAGAGAGGAACCTCCAGGCAGCTCCACTCCTGGACCCAAACTAAAGGACGCCTGACACCTGGGCTGCAACGTTAACAGAGGGCCTGCAACCCCACAATGTGAGAAGAGACGAGGCTGGGGAATCCCATATCACACCTCCAGGGGGGCAGATGGTCCTAGATGGTCCAGACGGATCAGACGGTCCTGTTAATGTGGACGGACTCATCCACCTTCCCTGCAAAGGCCTCCCTTCCTCGCCAGCCTCTTTCCTCAGTCTTTTCCATTGCAGTTACATGTCATGCTTTACAAATTATGTGAGACCTCTTAACAGTAATTCAGGCCATTAAAATGCAACAGTGATTTTTAAAAACAGGCCCAGGGAACCACGCACTAGGCCAGAAGACAAAACCCTGGAGAAAGATTGGTGACTAAAGCCACGCTTCTCGTTTGGCCTTGAGCTCCCCGAGCCGAGGTGCACAGCTGCTGGTATACGTTGTCCTCCTCGGGAGGCAGGCATCAGGCCCCAGGGTCTGAGCCGGGCTTGCGGTGCTGCTGTGGACGGTCCCCCAGAGCAGGTGTGCCTCTGTCACCAGGGCCTGCTCCTTCCACTGATTAAGTTCAAGGGGAACCAGGCACCCCAGCTTCCCCTCCCTAGGGCCATCACAGGGGCTTCTGGGGCATCCAGGGCCCACATACCTGTCCCGCCAGCTCCAAAGTGGGGTTCCCAGGCGAACTAAGTCAGGGCCGCTGAGCAGAGTCCTGGGGTCATGGGGATGCTGACCTGCAGAAGGAGCTCTCCTTCTGGGAGCTTGAATCCCACCACTGGTCAGTGCGGGGGTCCTGGAGTCCAGTAGGGACCATGTCCCCTGCATAGCCCCCTCCAGCACCTCTTCCCTGTGTCTCTGGGCTGGCCAGGGAGTTCCCAAGCCCTGCTCTAGTCCATGGCACCTTCCAGAAGGTTTCACCTGCTCCTGGGGCTCCCTGAGCAGCACACGGACACCCGTGCTTGGATGGAGGGCGGCCGAGTGGACGGAGAGAAAAGGACGGTCAATCTTGAAAGCCTTGGGTCTCCACGCTGGGGTCTGTGGCTGACGCACAAGCCACTCCGCTCCTGTCACCCTGCCCACCCCCACCCCCGGCATGTGGATCCAACCCCTGCTTAGTTAAGTTCTCGGACCCAGAGGGACCCTGGGACCCTGGGACCCAGCCAGGCATCCCACAACCACACCAGCCCATGTCCAACCACACTCACCAAGACCTCCAATTCCCTTCACTTCTACCTAGGAGCCTCCCTCTAGCTGACCGAGAGCTCAGACAGGACACGACCAGCTTCAGTCATGACGAGAGGGGGGATGGTCACTATAAGCTGGCACTTGGCATCTGCTTCTACCAGGATCAAATCTGGAGCCACTTCAGCTGCTGACCATCCACACCCCCTGAAAGGAGCTCAGGGTGGAGTACAGAAGCCCCTCATGCTCTGGAGAAAGTGGCAGGGCAGTTCTTCAGATAGTGAGCTATTTTCAGGAGGTTTTTGCATCTCCTCAAATCTAGAAAAGCACTAACTCCTTCGTGATGACATCTGCTCCTCGTGACGAGCAGCAACCCTCACGAGACTAACAAAGCCTTCTGAAAGAACAAGTGCTTGACTGCATGAACTGCGCCTCCACCAAAATCACACATAGACCAGAGCTTCCCACTACTCTTTGGAGCAGTCTCTCAGAGCTACCCGAGGTGCCGTCTCCCAGGCCATAGTCCTCATTTTGCCCCAAATGAAGCTTAACTCACGACTCTCACATTGTGCATTTTACTTCCAGTCGGCAGAACTGATTCTGGACAGAAAACGTAAGAGCTGGAGCAGGACTTGCCATGTTCCCCCGCGTCGGGACGACCCCTGAGGTCTGCATTGAGGCCACGGTGTCTGAGGCCAGGGGAGCCCGGTCACCCTGGATCCCCGAGTGGCTACTGAGCGAAGAGCCCTGGGCTGTGTCAGATAAACACGGACGGTAACTACGGGCACATCTGTTGCTTAGACGCAGAGAATCAAGGCTGTTTGTTTCCACGGCATCACCTCAGCTGTCCTGACTGCTGCAACCAGGATAAACTGGCTGCACACGCCCTGGCCACACAGACGTGTTCACACTGCCGTCTCAGAGGGAGCTGGTCCCTCGTGGTGGAAAGAGCCTCAGTGATTCTGGGGGGGCTTGCTTGACAAGATCCACAAATTACCCTCCAACTACGTCAGTCCCTGGCAGAGACCACCCTCCCCGGACTGGTGGCTCCAGGTGCCCCACGGTCCCCTCTTCCAGGTCTTCTCCATCTTGCCTCTGAACCTAAGTTTCAACCTGCGTGAGGAGCCTGGCTTCCTCCCTGCAAAGACGGATCTCTGATAATCACACTGTCTGTCTGGTATCGCTGCTCCAGAATCAATAGAGAATGTATTGATAAAAGTTAAATTGCCCCTGACTAAAGCGTTTCCTGCCAACGAGAGGCAGCGTAATTAAACTGCAGACAATTTAGCAAAACTTTAAACTTTAACTTTTACAATCTTGAGCAGTGTCAGCGCAAAGCTCTCCCTAAGTGGCTCACTTTCCTGTGGGATAAAATTGCTGTAAGTGCTTCCGTTAGTGGACATTTGGTTTTGTCTTTTGTTTGTTTTCTGGAATGGATGTGAGAAATGGCAGCTTTGGATCAGCACGTCACACAAAATACAAGCCCTTTTGAACACTGAGTTTATAAGTGGGCCTTTCCTTTATCTTTTCATGCAGTGACTACATATTAAGTGCCTACTAAGCGCCAGGCACTGAGAAGACACGACCTTAAGCTGGGAGCAAGTGTCAAGTGGGGACGACGAGAAGCAGTGGGTGGCCGTGGGGGTGCCCGTGCGGCAGGGGTCCCTGAGCCTGAGCGTCTGCTGGCTCGTCTGCACCCGAGGAGCTTGCCAGTCCGCTGACGCGCTCCCCGCTTCATTCATTCGCCCCCCACACATCCACCCCTTCACCTCAGGGCCGTGGCGCTCAGACCGTCAGGCTCTGCTCCTAGCTCTGGGGGCTCAGCACCCCCAGAATCTACCGCCCCAGGAGCCCATGTGTAACGAGCACAAGAGAAATGAGAGGCGTGTGGCATGTTGAGCGAGCGTGTGTCGGGTGACATGAGGCAGGAAGAGGAGGCGTGAAATGACTGGGCGAGGAGGGTGCTGGGTGTCTGGACAGACCAGGCAGGTCCCTGGGGACCCCTCGCTGGGGTCACTCCCACAGAGGCTGACCTCCAGTAGCCAGAAGAGGACTGGACACCCTGAGATGCCCCAGCTCACAATGTGGGCCCTGGGTGCTGGCTGATGGGGCCCCAAGAGGCCAGCACCCCTCTGCTCCACGTGGTCTCTGGCTGCCCCCACCCGCCGCGGGGGCTACACTAGGCTCTTCACGGCCATCGAGAAAGCGGAAGCTTGGATGCTTCGTGAAGGCTCAGAGGCCACAAGACATCATTTCTGCATTCTGTCAACAAAAGCAAGGCTGAAAACCAGCCAGACTGGAGGGCTGGGGAGACAGCCTCTGCCTCTTTACGGGAGGAGCAGCACAGTCCCCCAGCAGAGGGCATGGATGCCAGGAGGGCAGGCGCTGCTGGAGCCACACAACCTCAAGAGCATCCGCCTTGTCCTAACGCATCCCAAACCCGAGCTCTGCATTCACCCCGGCTACCCCCTGCAGACCCCTGCTTGCCATTAGTGGCAGCTCCACTGGGTCCAGGACATGCCTCAGAGTCACTCTTGACTCCTCTCATCCCTCACACATCACGCCATCCAGCAGCAAAATCTGTAGGTTCCACAGTCAGAATGAACCAAGTAGGCACCCACTTCTCACCGCCCCCAGTGCCACCCAATGGCTCATGCCCCCGTCTCCTCCCCACTTGAATTGTCCCAGCCAAGCCCCTTCTGGAACAAACATCCTGGACTCAGGGGTGACTGCTGCTGATGGGCCCGAGGGGTTCCCATTCTATCGCCTTTGTATCTCATCCCGCAGCATCCGCTCTGTGCCGTCTTCACCAAACAACTCTCAACTACTCATAAATCATCAACACGCTCCCCTGAGATCTAAGTATTTGTAAGTCATCTTCCAAATCTGTGGCTCCAGAAATGTTTGAATGTTTCACTCGCATCCTCGAAAAGAGAAATGAGCATCCTAATACATGCATAGCTATTTCTTTATTATATACACCAATGACCAAATGAATGCATGATATGCTGGATGCAATTACTGCGTCCTCCAGACCTGCGTCCCCCCGTCTCCAGGTTCTGTACCCAGAACGCTGTCCAGCACGGCCAGTATCAACAACCCCCTCACGTTCTGACCCCCACTGGGTTCAGCCCTCAGGGAGCCTGGAAGATGCTAGACAGGGGAGAGAGTAAGGCCAGCCCCTCCCTGGGGTGCCAGGCTGGAGCATTCTCCACCTGAGCTAACCCTCTCTGTACAGCCCTGGGGTGTCCCCCGCACCCTGACCACATGATCTTGAGGGTCCCTCTGTCACAGGGTCCTGACAAGAAGCATATGGCTCACACAAGTAGCACAATTCAGCAGCAGTTTAGTAGAGGTACCATCCACAAGAATGAGGTGGGCAGAGTGTAGAAGAACCGCTGGGATGTCAGGGTCACGCAGGGCCAGCTGCTGAGACGTGGTCACCACCTCCAGGCCCACAGGGAAGAGGGGAAGGAAGCCCTGAGCCCAGACGGCAGAGCCCAGCGGGCCTGGAGAGAATCAAGGCCCTCGAGTAGGGGAATAAGCCACCGACGTGGCCTCACGGGAGGAAGGGAAGCGGCCCGAGGACTAGCTACTGGCCCCCAGCTCCTCCCTCTCCCCAGAGTCGGCCAGGGCTCCCCGTGTCCAGTCCCTACAGGGCCCAGGGGGGCGCCCGGGGTCACAGCTCCTGCGGGGACGAATCACCCAGCACGGCCTCTGCTCAAGACTTCCCAGTCAGGTCACCCCGACGCCGAGTCTGCCTCTGCCTGCCCGGACCCCAACTAATGAAACATACGTGGGCTCAGTCGCTCAGTCGTGTCCGACTCTCTGCGACCCCACGGACTGTAGCACTTGAGGCTCCTCTCTCTGTGGGATTCCCCAGGCAAGAATATTGGAAGGATTCCATTTCCTCCTTCAGGGGATCTTCCTGACCCAGGGATCTAATCTACATCTCTTGTGTCTCCTGCATTGCAGGCAGATTCTTTACCACTGGCACCATCTGGGAAGCCGGAAATATACATGATGTTTGTATGGTCATCTTCATCTTCGTCAAATACACGTGATGAACCAACAAACAATGTGATTTCTTCAGATTGAACGTGAGTTTTGACAGAAGTTCTGTGTTTTCTGCCCACGCCTATGGCTGGTGTTGCATACTTTGCAGACAAGCGCAGCCCAGCTGGAGGACCACGATACGGGGCCCGCAGGGTCCAGACTGGGAGGTGAGGACCCAGCAAACACCTGCTCCCCATGGTCCTCACCTCCTGAACTTGAGTCCAGCCCCCAACACGTCTTTTGGGGGGGACACAATTTAACCCACTCTGCGGCTGCAAGGTGACAGACACCTCTCCTAAAACCAACGTTAAGACAGTAATTGGGGAGCATCCATCCATCCACACTCTAGCTGTACCCAGGGGACTCCCCTCCCTCAGGAATCACACATTCTGTTAAAACAAGGCAGCAAAGACAAGGTTTCCCTAAAAGCCCTGGGAATCACGGTGCAAGTTTCAGGACAAAGCCTTTCATTAAGTACCTTCCACACACTGTGGCAATCTTTATTTTAAAATGATCTCTGCATTAACATGACCTCCTCCCGAGCACCCCTGATGACAATATCCTTGTAAAAGCATCCCTCTAAGCCAAGTGACCAGAATCTCTCACACTGTTACACCATCTGCAAATTGTCCTCATTAGCACTACATGAGTGTATTTAAGAAGCCACTTCAAAGTCGTAGAGCCAGCAATAAGAAGTCATCTCTTTACTGAGGTCCAGCAAAGGACTGCATTAAGAATCTTCCAATCCCGACTTCTCTGAAATCTCTCAAATGTCTACTTTCCATGGAGAAAATGGTAAGTTCACCACTGAGTTTCCATCCTATAAGCTAAAAAAAAATGAATGAGTTTTCTGAAGACTTCAATTGAGTTTCATAGAAAGAGCATCAGAGTTCAAAGTCTTTACAGAAAAATGTCAACACCAATTTCCAGGGGAAGAAGGATACCCAAGTGTCAAAAAAATTACACCTAGAAATTGCTGATAAAAAGGGACATGGTATAGAGAAGAGGGCAAAAACAATGAGAATATTATTTCTGAACTAACTTTGTTAAATGTTCCCAGCAATTGGATCAGAATAGATCTAAGGCGATCTTAGCACAGATTCACCCGACATTCACTCAACCCTCAGTTCTGCAGAGGATAAACACATAGGCATTTTACCAGCGTCGGGAGAGATCAAAATATAGACTCACAAAGCAGACCTGAAAACTCCGGGTAGTGTTATTTTTGGCTGCAAAAGTATTTCATAGCTGTTTCAAGTCAATGTGAATAATTTAATATGTAAATGATTTGGTTTTAAAAATACAATGAAAAATAGCTAAGGCAGCGATGTCAGATAAATCTGAAACACAAACAGTACAAGATGGTAGCTCAGGCCTGGAGAATATAACGATCTGAGAGGGGGACTTCCCTGGCGGCCCAGCGGCTAAGACTAGGCAGGGGGCCCGGGTTCCACCCCCGGTCAGAGAACTAGGTTTCACATGTGGCAACTAAGAGTTTGCAGGCCACAACTAAAGACCTGGCACGCCGCAACCACTGAGCCCGCACGCCCATGGCGACGAGAAAAGGCCCCAGACCACAACTGCAAGCTCCGCACAGCCGAAGAAAATAATAAGAAGAGCTTTCGATTAGGAAAACAAAGAGCCGACAGTGCCTACAACGGCAGCTGGACAACAGCAGGGAATGGGGTAGATTAAGAGGAGTGATGCGGAGCTAGGGATCAGCTGGGAAACCAGACAAGTGCACTCAGGAGAGCAGAGAACTAAAGCACCCAGTCGTCAGGCGAGGCGCTCCCTGCTGGGGTCCAGGGGTAACTCAGAGGCACGCGCACCTCTGCCTCGGCTCAGCCGTGTGCATCAGCCACCCAAGGGCTCTCGTGTCATCACGTTTCAGCTCAGCGACCACAGGGAGACTGAAGAGAGGCTGCGAGAGAATGAAACAGTCCACTGTGTGATGAACAGCTAATAGAAAAACCCTTCACTCTGTTGTTTATCACATTTTGACAAGAACCTGAATGCCATGAAACAGAAATCATAACAAACCTAACACATTTCATTAGGGGGAAAGCTTAAAGCATCTGTAGAACAACTCGTCTGCCTGTGTTCAATTTCTCCGGAGATCTCTGCCGAAGCCATGGTGTCTGGAGAAGGAGAGGATTGGGGGTTTCAGGGCATTAGGAGGTTCGTCAGGGTGTTAAGCTTGCCAGTGAGACGTCCTATGTGACAGGAAATAGAGCTTCGGAGGCTGGCGCGAGAAACAGCAAAGCCTGCCACGGAGCCCGCCAGAAGGAAGGCGCTGATGATGAGATACTTGCCTAACCGTTCAGCTCCCGCCGGGGAGTCAGAAACTCTGAGTGCAGATTGGAGGACCGGGAAGGGCGGGAGCAGGAGGCTCACACCTCCTGGGGCACAGCGCCTCGCAGCCAACGCCGACAGACAAGAGCAGAGAGGTGACAACAACAGATCTCCTCCCGGTTCAGGAGGAAACTGCATTTCATTGGGAGTAAATTAGAAACGGATTCTTACAAAAATGGTATCTTCAGATAAAACCAATTTCCACCCTGTGCTCGCTCACTCAGTCGTGTCTTTGTGACCCCACAGACTGTCCTCTGTCCATGGAATTTTTCAGGCAAGAGTACTGGAGTGAGTTGCCATTTTCTTCTCCAATTTCCAATTTACACAGAGTTTCATGAACAGCATTAAGTACCGCAAATATCAGAAGAGAAATCCCACAAACCTGCAACATGTTGCATCAGCTAAACTCAGAATGCCAGGATGTGTGACTCTCCTCTTCCCACTCTTCCTGGGTCCTTCAATCTGCACTCAGAGTTTCTGACTCCCCTGGGTGGGAGCTGAACAGTTAGGGAAAGTATCTCATTATCAGCGCCTTCCTTCTGGCGGGCTCTGTGGCAGGTTTGTTGTTTCTCATTAGGAGAGCTGATCACCACAGTATCCTTGTAAAGCATCCTCTGCTGGAAATACAGAGGCACAGAGAGTCTACACATGGCCAGGAACTTGCTCCAAAGTTGGGTTTGTTTGGTTGAGAAATTTCCAACCTTGTGAAAGAATGGCAGATTGCTGACTACAGAGACTTGTTGGATTTGGAGGTTGGTTTATTTCAATGTTCTCCACTGGCAGATATACTCTGTCTTCAGAGCTGAAAGAAGCTGGGGAATGGGCCATCTCTCCTCCCTGTCCCCAAAAGGCAGCCATACTTTTCCCCGGATATCCGAGATCTATGTCCCAGCAGCTCATAAAGTTGAGCAAGTGGGCCCAACGCACAGGCTGTCAGACTCCGCCAAGAGCACAAGTTATTTCTGTTGTTCAGTCGCTCAGTCCTGTTTGACTCTTTGCAATCCTGTGGACTGCAGCACGCCAGGCTTCCCTGTCCTTCAGTATCTCCCAGAGCTTGCTCAAACTCATGTCCATTGAGTCAACGATGCCATCCAACCATCTTCTCCTCTGTCGCCCAGAGGACAAGACCACCAGACATTGTTTTTTAATGCTGTGCCATGTAGCACATAGGATCTCAACTCCTGGACCAGGGATCAAACCCGTGCCCCCTTCATTGCCTTGGGAGCATGGAGTCTTAGCCACTGGCCCACCAAGAGAAGTCCTAAGACCACCAGATCTTTTATTTCAAAAGTTGGGGGCTGAGAGAGGCAGGAGCAAGCAGTTGCAACCTGGATGTCTGCCCTGGAGATTGAGGCCTGGGAGGTGCAAGGAGCCCAGCCAGGAGCAGGGGTGAGCACCCACCTGGCTGGGCATGAAGGGTAGAGGGGACTGCCCACGTGAGCACAGCCCGGGAGGGACCCCTCCACCCTGCACCAGCAGCCACGGAAGGAAAGGCGGTTCCCTGCCCAGGGCAGAGCTGGAAGAGCTCAGGGAGGTTCCAGCTGCCCTCCCCGCCCCTCGCTTCCAGGGCCGGGTGACAGTCACCTTGGGGCAGAGCCCAGGGGAGGGGCAGATGTGCGTGGTGCTAATAGCGGAGAGAAGAAAGGAAACATACAGCCTGAGTCACAGTCTCTGCAAATCCCCAGCCATCAACAAGAAGACGGGAGGACCCGGAGCAAAGCAACTGCCACCCACGAAGCCCGGAGTCCCGGACTCCCGGCAGAAAGCAGATTGTTTTCTTTCTGTGGGAACCCCAAGAAACTGTCCTTCTGGGGTCCTCACGTAGCACCCCCGCAGCCCTGTCTTCATCCACTGAGAACAGGAAGAACAAGCAACAGTGATTCTGGCGCATCTTGCTGACGGCAGCATCCTTTAGACACGCCCCGGCAGGTTGAGATGCCTTGTTCACAGGACCCTGTGCTGACAGTAAGTGTGTGGGGGGCTGTGCTGCATGGCTGAGGGCGGAGCTTCCTGCAGTGAATGTGGTTGTTGACATTCACTGAATCCGCGCCAGATGAGCTACCCTTGGCAGGATGATCATCAGGGTCCCGCAGACGCAGAA